CGTGTTTGCTGTCGTTTCTGGCCAGTGAAGTGTCATAAGGAATTAGAGTTTAATCGCGTAGCAAATGCAATGAGAGCCGCTCTGGCCGCCTGCTGCATACACTCTATCCAGAACATGCTTTAGTGGTGCCCTCTCGCGCCGTCGACACGGAGTGCGGCAGCCATGAGCGCTCGATAAGCTCACTACGCCTCCTATAGTTCACGGACACTCAAGCAACCAAGGACGTCATGAGGGAGGTTATTTTTTGCTTGTTTTTGTAATTTTAATTTGCCTATTACTTTTAAAATAAAAGGAATTTCGAGAAAAGAAAAGTTTCACTAAGGTACTATGTTCAGTGCGCTTAATTTCGGTGCAATTTAAAAATTAGTAAAAAAGTCATTGCAGGGCCCCTTTAACAATGAGGAAAGGCTCGCAGTTACTGTGTTGCCTACTCCACAACTTGCCGTAACCGCTGGTTCTAGTACACTGCACGAAGGTAACCACACGACTGCACGGCGTCCATTTGCAATCCATGGCCACCATTGCATTCTTGCGTGTGTGCAGACATTTGCCGAATCTTTGCCAAATTTTCCTCCAAAAGTTTGGCATTTCCCAAACTTTGCCGAATCTGAAGTTCGGCAGATTCGGTCCATCGCAAATATATATGTATATTTATATATATACTCTCATGAAAAAACTTTCAGCGTTTCCACCCTAATGAAGAAGGAAGACCAGCGAAGCTGTACTATGGTGGGAATTAAGTAATGGCTCTCCGCAAGTCAGCAAGCCAGATTGGAAAGGTTGCCGCGATCTATGAATGACGGCGGCAAGCAGACAATCAGCAATCACAACACTCTGGACAGCTACCGCCATCTTTGAGCGGCGGCAGCAACGAGAGTGTTGTGGCGACATTTGACTAGTACCGGACACGATCCTAGGGAAACAAGCCCTTCACAGCTCTGCTCTAAAATAGAAATTGTGTCCCTTTTATGTGTGTACTGTCAATTTAGTAATTTTTTTGTTGTTTTGTTTGACAATATTGTGAGTGAAAGCACTAAGGCAAATGTAATGAAGTAACGAGCTGCAGCATATCATTAGATGTGTCAGAACGGTAATTTGGCAAGCACTAAACATTTTGCTATGTCTTCTTTCTTCGATGGTCCTATAAAACCCTTTAGGTTTGCGAGCCCTTTATTTTCGCGAATTGAAAAATTTGCGAAATTTAAGGGCACGCGAAATTTCGGTCCTTAAAAGTTCCAATGCAGGCATCTGGAATTCGCGAAATTTAGTGGCCGCAGTTAAGACCTCTGCGTCTGATTCGCGAAAAATAGGGGCCGAAAAATATAAAGGTTTTTACAGTATTTGCTGTTATTCGACGTTAGCAATATTAGAGGTGTGCAAATATAAAAGTCTTTCGAATCGAATCGAATAATAAAGGTTACGAATCGAATAGAAAACTTTCGAATATGAATAATTTCAAATAGGAACATTCTCGAAAACAAATATTTTTCATTGGATATGAATTAAACAAGCATGCTCAATCAAAACTGAAAATTTTTTTTCAACAAACATAAAAAAAATGTCCCCATGTGACTGATAAAAAACAGATGAAATAAAATATCAGTCATAGCGAGTTCGTTTCACGGCACTCGTGAGCATGCATGCCCAGTGGAGCGGGGTCGTTTCAGCGCCGGCACCCCATGCGTGCATGTGCTCGCTGCACCGAGAAAATCGAGCATGCGCCAAAATGCAGTCCCGCCATGCCTCGCTCCAGCGAGGAGCGGGAGCAGACAAGGGTTTGTCTGCTATGATGTGTCATTCGTACAGGGGAACCAAAAGGAAAAAAGTAATTTTTTTTATTGAAATCGTGTCCCGCATGCAACAGATCAAACGTGAGCTTGAATTGTGAGCGTCTACTGTTTCATGAAGAAAGCAATTGACAATCCGTGCTTTATTTGCAAGTTTGTAGTCGCTCTGTTGCAGGGACGGGCAAAATACATGCAAATATGTATCGAAATACAAATACAAAATACTTCATAAAAAATGCATTTAATTACAAGATACACATACAACCAAATGTATTTGGTCTCCTCCAAATACTTTTCCAAATACATTCCTCAAAGTTTGCGTCAGCGACTTCAGGGCAACGACTTCAGGGCAGCGACTTCAGGGCAACGGGTTTCTGGGTATCTCATTTTAATTTTGCATCGCACACTCGGGAGTTAGTGTGCGAGGCTCTAGTAACATAATAAAAATATATTCCCCCAAAAAATGTAATCAGCTTCGACGTAATAGGTGAAAAAAGTACAGAGCTTCAAGCAGCTTTTTTTGTAGATTACATTCTGGTGTAGACCAACAAAGAACCGAGAAGACCAAGACGCGCAGCACTAGCTAGAGAATTTTTTTATTGCTGCAACACGCATCAGTTAGGAAAATTTGGACGACCCGCGCATTTAGAATGTTACAGTCAAAAATATGGATGGAAATCAGGCTGGAAAGCATCACAAGTTGTCGCAGGCACTTATTTAGCCAGTCCGCCTGTGAACGGCGATTTCTTCACTATTATTGCCCTAGACTAGCATCGTAATCACAAAGTCACTAAACACTTGTGCTTGATTGAGAGACACTGCATTCGGTGCAGAGCGTAGTTTTCTTACTGCTCTGGACAGTGACAATAAATTTGAGTGATGTATTTTCGCCCACAAAATTGTATTTAATTACAATTGCATTTGAAATACCCACGTTTTAGTATTTAAATACACACGTCAAATACATTACCCAATTTGTTATTAAATACAAATGCAAAATACACAAAGTATTTGAAATAGGTATTTCAAATACTTGTATTTGAAATACTGCCCATCCCTGCCTGTTGCCGTAAAGACGCTGAAATATACCAGCATGTAAAGAAATGCTCGGAACAAACGCATCAGCGGCCCCCTGAGATCTCTATATCGCCCTCAGTAAGCGGGTGAAAAATTCACCATTTGTCGACAAAGGTCCACCACCAGAAACCTGCGACTGCCCAATAAGCATACGAGAAGGCTAAACATAGTGACTTTACACGAGGCTTGGGCAACATCATCATGTTCAACATTTACCTACATCAGCTATTTTGCCCCGTTATATTTAGTTTGAGAAAGCTCTGGTTCTCGACGCCCTCACCAAGGCTAATATCTGATCCACCTGTAATGACGATCGAAATCCAAAGTCCCACGAAACGTTTTGCTGGATATTCCAACAGACTAGTTTTAAGCCGTACCTTTCAGAGGTTCACGCATAATACCATGCTCATACGAATCAAGCTTCTGCGCGGACAGCATCATCAGTTTTCTCCAATGTAAACAGTTATAAGAATTGAAAGACCAGCAGCTTTGTAGTCAGCTAATTGCGAAAATCTACGCTGCCTGTAAATATCTCCATGACAGCGGAGTTGTTTGAAGTCATCGCAAATATAAACTAGAGGTTGCAGCGACCAATATTTATAGATAAACATTGGCAGCGACTGCACTCTCGCATTCCCACCCATCACGTTGAATAGAAACGTGCTGGTTTCGGTTTGAAGTCGCTACTCTTTCTCCAACATAAATGGCGGCAGCTTCAGTCTTCTGCACTTGGTGCATTTGGCGTGTTTGTTTGAGTCCAGTTCTCTGTGCAACACTCTGTGAGTGCGATGCATTCTGGGAAAGAACTCGAACGGTGCTAGTGCATCTGAAACGAACTCGCTATCAGTAAAACACCATTCAAGGAGTGAAGTTACACAACGTAAATGAAAGTACAGGGTGTCACAAAAGAAAATTTACAGTTTTTTTTTACCTCAAAAATAAACTAGGCATTTTCAAACGCTCATTTTCCGCCCAAAGGTAGCGCTACAGGTCACAACCAGATGCCAAAGTTTCAGCCCGATCCGAGACGACTGATGCTTTTCACCGCACCGCTCGCAGTTGTGCTCCATCTGGGCAGTTTCACGAAGTTTGTCGTGCACACTGTGTCTGCTGACGTGACATGAGGACATGGCACGCGAGAATCCCTCTTGGTGGTTCCCATGGCAATTATGAGCTGCTTGGCCGACTCCAGATCCAGGTTCACAGACTCCCAGAGTCGTGTCTGCATTCCGGTATCACTAATACTGGACACAATCTGGTCCCTCACCATACGGTTTCGTGTCAGACCAAAATTGCAGTGATCCACCAAATTGTTCAGCGCTGCAACATAGTCACCGACAGATTCGCCTTCTTGCCTTTGCCTCAAGAAAAACTTGAAAACTCGCAACAACTTCAGACATTTTCGGCTTAAAATGGCGTCCAAACATCGCGTAAATTGCCGCGCGCGTGGCATTGCCGGATTTTGTCGGCCAGGAGGCTTCGCAACAGTATGTCTGCCCCACAGCTAGTCAGGAACACGGCTTTCTTCCACTCAGTGTCATTGTTGGCCAAGAACAACAGAATTCGATCCTCGTATTCCGCCCATGTGGTCGTGGCTGCGTCATAGACTTAAAGCTTCCCAACCGATGGGATTCCAAAATCGACCACGCTGCATTATCTGCACCGAACCGATGTCCTGAAGTTAATATCTCGTCGCCAGTTGTCATAAAAGCAGATTCATGGCAAGACCATGTAAAGGCCTGACAAACCCTCCTGTTCCGGTGTAAGTGCCGAGTGCCTGACCAGGGCATCAGCGCGTTTATTTAACGAGGCCACCTCTACTGCCACCTGTTGGTGCCACAGCGCCCCTGACATCATGACAGTGAAGTTCTCCGACGATGGTTTCACAGCAGGCACGGATCTGAATGCAATGCACAGACTTGTATCGGACATGATTAAAAAAGCAGAGTTCCTTACTTTGAAACCAAAATGCAGGCAGCACCTTCCATACAGGAAAATGCTGGAAATAAAATTGTCTGAAAAAACAAAGTAGTTAGCAAGAGACCACATGAATGCTATCCGAAGAATGTTCCAGTTCTTTTCTATTTTATGATCTTGCAACACTTCACTCACTCTCATGTCACAACAGGCACCTCATCATTGGAAGACAGTTTTTATTTCTAAAAAAAAGCCTTCTCGGAGGAATGTACAGCATCCCTAGAACCCTTGTTTATAAACTAACACATAGATGATGCGTTAGTTTGTTTAAATACTGACTCTTGAACCTAAAGTACTACAATCCGTCACTGTTTTTAACAAAAACACTATAATCACTGACAAGGTGAAAGTAGCATGGAGGAGCTTCGGCATGAGTTACCTACTTTCGAAAAGGCTTTGCATCTTGTGCACCTCGAGGGCATGCATATGTTTATAACAGACATTTATACAAAAGACAGGCTCATCAAAGCACCAACTTCATCTGAATGCCAGTCCACAGTGCCGCAGGCATAGCCTTAAACTCATCAAAATCATTGCACCGATATCCTTGACAATCCTAGGAAGACACTCAAATTCTCACGGGAAAGTCAGGCCACTGAAGGGAATTCATCCTGTGCGAACTGAGGTTTCATCCCGTGTGAGCCGCCTCGTGAGCATTCAAGTGTTGTTCATTGGTGAATGCCATGGTAGAAGTGCTACATTTGTAGATTGTACCCTTGTAATTTGAAAGGAGATTCAAGGGAAGTTTCAGCTGAAAAGAAAGCTTCGATTGAAGAGGTAAGTTCAGTCTAACTACTTTTGGCTGGACAGGACACTTCTATGAACCTTCACTCATGTGAGCAGCCTGGCGAGCACTCACGTGCCCTCCTTCAGCGACTGCAATAGCACGAGTGCTAGGATTGCATGTCAGTTCATCTTGGTGAATCTTTCCATGAGCACTCAACTGAGACTCTTCGCACAGTGCTTCTGAGGAGGTGTGGCTTATAATTTTTGATCAACTGATTTTGTCCGCAACCCACAGATTTATATTTCCATAAAAATGGTGCATCAAGAGTTTCAGATTTGTACGGCATCTTGCCACTGAGAAGTCTTTCGTGAAGACTTGAGCTAGATTTTCCACTCAACTCTTTTGGGCAGGTACCAGATTTAAATAGCCTACCATCTGTGTGCATAGCCACAGGTGGTAGGTCACAGCTGGTAGGCTGGGGCCTCCTTAGGCCCATTCTCTGTTCAAACAATTTGTCACAAGTGTGACATCTGCTGGTTCCTTTGCACTCATGAATTGTTTTATGACTATTCATGCTAGACTTTTGATAAATATCTTTTAGACAAGTTTTTCCATTTTTGTGAAGTTTTTCATGAGCATTCAAGTAAAACTTTGTACGGAACAATTTGGGGCAGGTGGAGCATTTATAAGCCGCAGGCACATGAATAGTTTTGTGATCATTCAACTTAGCCCTAAAACGAAAATTTTCTGAAGAGGTGGAGCACGTGAACAGCTTTGGGCCTGCATGAATTAGCTCATTGTTGGTCAAGTGACACTTTTCTGCAAATGATCTGTCACGAGTTTCACATTTGAAGGTCCTCTCACCTTTCTGGTGAAGCCTTGTGTGAACACTCAAGGAAAGATTGGCTACAGTACGAATTTTGACAGGAAGGGCATTTAAACGGCCTTTCATCACTGTGAGATATCTCGTGAGTCGTCAAGTGTGACTTCTTTTTAAATGCTTTAGGGCAGATTGGGCATTTAAACAGCCTTTTGTCACTGTGAGATATCTTGTGACTCGTCAAGCGTGACTTCTTTCTAAATGCTTTAGGGCAGATGGGGCATTTAAACAACCTTTCATCAATGTGAGATAGCTTGAGGTGTCAAGTGTGACTTCATTTTAAATGCTTTAGGACAGTAAGGGTATTTAAACGGCCTTTCATCACCGCGAAATAGCTTGTGCAAAGTCAAGCTTGCCTCTGTTTTAAATGTTTTGGGGCAGATGAGACATTTAAATGGCCTTTTATTAATCACTCTGGGACATCTTGTGCTCCATCAAGCATGACTTTCTCTAAAAGGCTTTAGGGTAGCTGAGGCATTTGAACGACCTTTCATCGCTGTGAGATAGCTTGTGAGTCTTAAAGTTTGACTTATTTTTAAATGCTTTAGGGCAGCCGGGGGCATTTAAATGGCCTCTCATCACTGTGACATAGCTTGTGTGCAGTCACACTTGACTTTTTTTAAGTGCTTTAGGGCAGCTCGGGCATTGAAGCGGCTTTTCATCACCGTGAAATAGCTTGTGCACAGTCAAGCTTGACTTTTTTTAAATGCTTTAGGGCAGCTGGGGAATTTAAACGGTCTTTCATCGCTGTGAGATAACTTGTGAGTCGTCAAGTTTGACTTACTTTTAAATGCTTTAGGACAGCTGGGGCATTTAAATGGCCTTTCATCACTGTGAAATAGCTTGTGCATAGTCAAGCTTGACTTCAATTGAAATGCTTTAGGGCAGCTCGGGCATTTAAACGGCCTTTCATCACCGTGTAATAGCTTGTGCACAGTCAAGATTGACTTTTTCTTAAATGCTTTAGGGCAGCTGGGGCATTTAAACGGTCTTTCATCGCTGTGAGATAGCTTGTGAGTCGTCAAGTCTGACTTATTTTTAAATGCTTTAGGGCAGCTGGGGCATTTAAATGGCCTTTCATCACTGTGACATAGCTTGTGCACAGCCACGCTTGACTTATTTTTAAATGCTTTAGGGCAGCTGGGGCATTTAAATGGCCTTTCATCACCGTGAAACAGCTTGTGCACAGTCAAGCTTGACTTTTTTTTAAATGCTTTAGGGCAGCTGGGGCATTTAAACGGCCTTTCATCGCTATGAGATAGCTTGTGAGTCGTCAAGTGTGAGCTGATTTTAAATGCTTTAGGACAGCTGGGGCATTTAAACGGTCTTTCATCGCTGTGAGATAACTTGTGAGTCGTCAAGTCTGACTTATTTTTAAATGCTTTAGGGCAGCTGGGGCATTTAAACGGCCTTTCATCACTGTGAAATAGCTTGTGCATAGTCAAGCTTGACTTCAATTGAAATGAATAGGGCAGCACGGGCATTTAAACGGCCTTTCATCACCGTGTAATAGCTTGTGCACAGTCAAGCTTGACTTTTTTTTAAATGCTTTAGGGCAGCTGGGGCATTTAAACGGCCTTTCATCGCTATGAGATAGCTTGTGAGTCGTCAAGTGTGAGCTGATTTTAAATGCTTTAGGACAGCTGGGGCATTTAAATGGCCTTTCATCACTGTGAAATAGCTTGTGCATAGTCAAGTCTGACTTTTTTTTAAATGCTTTAGGGCAGCTGGGGCATTTAAACGGCCTTTCATCGCTATGAGATAGCTTGTGAGTCGTCAAGTGTGAGCTGATTTTAAATGCTTTAGGGCAGCTGGGGCATTTAAACGGCCTTTCATCACCGTGAAACAGCTTGTGCACAGTCAAGCATGACTTTTTTTCAAATGCTTTAGGGCAGCTGGGGCATTTAAATGGCCTTTCATCACCGTGAAACAGCTTGTGCACAGTCAAGCTTGACTTTTTTTTAAATGCTTTAGGGCAGCTGGGGCATTTAAACGGCCTTTCATCGCTATGAGATAGCTTGTGAGTCGTCAAGTGTGAGCTGATTTTAAATGCTTTAGGGCAGCTGGGGCATTTAAACGGCCTTTCATCACCGTGAAATAGCTTGTGCACAGTCAAGTCTGACTTTTTTTTAAATGCTTTAGGGCAGCTGGGGCATTTAAACGGCCTTTCATCGCTATGAGATAGCTTGTGAGTCGTCAAGTGTGAGCTGATTTTAAATGCTTTAGGGCAGCTGGGGCATTTAAACGGTCTTTCATCGCTGTGAGATAGCTTGTGCTTCGTCAACCATGGTTTTGCTTGAAATGCTTTAGGACAGTAGGGGCATTCAAACGGCTTTTCATCGCTATGAAATAGCATGTGAGTCGTCAAGTGTGAGCTGATTTTAAATGCTTTAGGGCAGCTGGGGCATTTAAACGGCCTTTCATCACCGTGAAATAGCTTGTGCACAGTCAAGTTCGACTTTTTTTTAAATGCTTTACGGCAGCTGGGGCATTTAAATGGCCTTTCATCACTGTGAAACAGCTTGTGCACAGTCAAGCTTGACTTTTTTTTAAATGCTTTAGGGCAGCTGGGGCATTGAAACGGCCTTTCATCGCTATGAGATAACTTGTGAGTCGTCAAGTGTGAGCTGATTTTAAATGCTTTAGGGCAGCTGGGGCATTTAAACGGCCTTTCATCACTGTGAAATCGCTTGTGAATAGCCAAGCTTGACTTATTTTTAAATGCTTTAGGACAGTAGGGGCATTCAAACGGCTTTTCATCACTATGATATCTCTCGTGAACCTTCAAGGAAGACTTAGTCCGAAAAGCCTTAGGGCATGCAAGGCATTTAAAGGGCCTTTCATCTGTGTCAATCCTTTCACAAGTAGTTAAGCGATGCTTCCTAGACGCTTCTTCTGTCTGTGTGCCTTCAATCGTGATGATCTTCCTTGTGGAGATGCTGGAGCAGGTTCCAAAAGAACAGCCATGTCTTGGATTCACCTGTTCGTCCAGACATTCCTGGTCAGGTCGTTCTTGGGAAGAGGACAGGCTATGGCTTTTTCCACAGTCGGAGCTCCCCTCTGGCACATCGTCCGCGTCTGTTGGGAAGACAAAATGAACAAGTACCAGTCTTTCTAACTGAGGGAGGGAAAAAGATACCTATCCCTTACAGGAAAAGTTGTACATATGTCAAAAACCTGTGGTAAACCCTGAACAATTAAAAAGTTGAGTAGGTTGGAACTGTTTCAAATTAACTGCAATGAAAAACAAAGCTTGACCCATGTCGTGTTATACTGATTTATATACAGCAGAACCCTAGACATATTTTTTATTGAACCATAGATAAAAAAGTGAAAGCCGTTTACAACTTCCTGTAACGCCGAATTGGAGCGCAGCTCTTGAGGAGGAGGAGTGGAGGATATATTCCTCCTCCTCCCTCGTGATCATGCCTGCTAGTCCTCCTCCCCTCCTGCTCCCCCTCCCTCTCCTTTACCCCTCCCCCCGAGGTCACGTGACCCCCCCGGACCATACTAGACAATGAGGGGAGGAGGAGGAGGGGGAGGAGGAGGAGGGCAGAGATCCGGGGGGGTCACGTGACCTCGAGGGGACGGGATCACATGACCTTGGGCGGGCCGTCACGTGACCGGCGGGGGGACGGGAGTCACCCCCCGGGGTCACGTGACCTTGGCGGGGGAGGTGGGGGGAGGAGGAGGAGCGGAGGGGGAGGAGGAGGAGAGGGAGGGGCGACGCCGACGCCGCACAGGCTGGAAACGGGTCATGTGACCCCCTCCCCCCGAGGTCACGTGACCCGCCCGGACCATACTACACAATGAGGGGAGGAGGAGGAGAAGGAGGGGGAGGAGGAGGAGGGGGAGGAGGAGGAGGAGGAGGGGCGCGGTTACGCCGACGGCAACGGCGACGCCGACGGTGACGCCAACGGCGACGCCGACGCCGCTCAGGCTGGAAACGGGCCCCTAAGAGCTGCGCTCTAAAAGTATGACCTGGAAAACAATCAATGGCAATAAAGTATTGAGGGGGCCTTCAATAATACAGGAAGTGACTATTTTTAAGTAACTTATTTCCCAAAGATGTTTGCAGCTGTGAACTATTGATTATTTGAACATTTCATAGAAACCTATATACTATGAGCACAATCCTCCGAGAAATCGCCGATCACGCGTTTCTCGCTAAATATTTGTAGGGTTCAAATTTCAAAGCGTACCCCACCCCATTTGATTCATACACTATCAGATGGGATACATTCCAGCTGCTATGCTCCAAACAAATGAAAAAAAAAAACAAAAAAAAAACAATGAGCTCAGGTTTTCTTTGTAGACGTAACTGCGGGGGTTCAAAATCTCTTGAGAAAGCTTTATTTCTCTCATACGACCGGCCAACTCTTCCAGTACTTAGGAGTGATGCGATAAATCGGCACAGAAGCCTAGATGCCTTTTAAACAAGAGTGCACACAGTAAAAACTTTTTAGCTCATAGTCATGCATCAACAGGAGGCTTACATCAGCAAATATCATGCTTAAAGGGGAGCTCCGCCGATTTTTTTACAGCCTTCGATATGGCTGAAAATTGGTCGACCGCATCAATAACCCTTTCTTAACTAATAGCCAAAATATTTCATAAGAAAGTTCTTCCACGAAGATACTGAATTTTCAAGTTATGCCGGCCGCGAGGTTTCTAGGAGGCGACTCTCTACTGGCAACAATGAAAAATCCCTACTTTTCCCTATCCGTGTACGTCACCGGCGGACGAGCGGCCTGGGCAGCCACAAAGCGGCTTTCTGGGTGCCATCGATCAAGATTTTTTTTCCATAGCTTCAAGGTTGAAAGTTCCTTTGCAATGGGTAGCAATCTGTTATCTGCAAACTAGTGTCACATGGAACATTCTCGCTTATGCTCAGAATACTGTAAAACCCTTAATGTTCGCAAGCCCGTGAATTTAGCGAATTGAAAAATTCGCAAGATATAAGGGTTGCGAAAATTTCGGTCCCTAAAAGTTTCAATGCAGGCATCTAGAATTTGCGAAATTTAGTGGCCGCGATTTGTTCTCTTGGACCGATTTGCAAAAAATAGAGGCCTCGAAAATAGAGGGTTTTACAGTAGTTTATGGTTACGGGCTTGAGTACGCGGCTATATACTTTGTAGCCGTGTGCTGCGAGTTGAGTATCCTTTTGCGGCTGGAGAACAACAGCTTCAAGAGCGGCGAGCGCTGGCTCAAGCCCACTTAACCATTACAACATCTGTCCAAAGAGGAGCGGTAATAATATCGAGAAAAATAGTGCACATTCTAGTACTATAGTGGACATTGGTGCAGTCAGCTTTGTTGTTCACAATTCGTTCAGAATCTTTTTTTTTTTTTTTTCATAGATAGTATATTTGTTTTGGACATTTAATTTAGCACGGGCTACTCTCGGAGTTCCACTCACGCAGCCGATCTGTCGAAGACGTGAAGTGAAACGTTTAAATGAAGTTCGAGTCTGAGTTTAGACATACCTTTCGACACACTGCCTTACGCGTCTGGTATTACAGATGTTTATGGAACAGGTGTTGAGCTCCATTAATATACGATAGAGCCATTGCCTGGTTTGTCGAATGGATGGCATACAGTGCTTCCACATAGAAAATGTGGTGAAAACGTCTGTATTTTATTTTATAGCGGAGAAATGTAATTTAGGGCTGAAAAGTTTTTTGAAGTATGAAAATATTAATGTCGTTTAGGAGAGGCATGTAAATTTACAGCTGATGGAGGCTGTGAGAAACCGAAACTTCATTATAAAAATTTTTTATATACATTTACACTATTCCATATGTATGCTCGCAGATGAGTGTTTGATGAGCGTGTTGCATTCTATGCCAAAAGAACAAAAAAATGTACAAAGTTTTTTTGTTTTTTTTTTGTTTTGTTAAAGACGACGATTAGTTTGTGCTTAATACTTTTCCCTCGCTTCCTCCTCTCGCCCTTCTACCCTGTCCACCGTTGCCTGTTTCCTCTTCCCTTATGGTAAGGAGGCTCTTCTGCCTTGCAGAATCTCGAGTATGGTCGTCGGCCTTTAACTTATTTTGAATGAGAAATGTTATGATGCATTTTTGTACTTTACGCAATATTTCGAGCAAATATTATGAATGGTGCATTTGCGTATCTTCTACGCCTTTCATTGCACCTTGATGTATGGCTTGATGGTTGCGGAGTTCTTTTAATTTTCATTTTAGCGCAATCTTCACAAACAGAAACCTGCCATCTGGCCTACATGAATGCAGTTCATTCCATACATTTCAATGTTTAAGAGAATCACAGCCTACACGTTATAGGTCACAGACCAGCACACAGATGTTCATCGCTTTGGAAGGCGAGCAAAGTACGCACCACAGGTTTGAATGCTAAAAATGGCACCGACCAGAAAAGCTTTTCTGGAATGGTCTATAGATATTTTGCTAAACCACTTAAGCACCAAGGATCCTATGCACACCAGAAGGGTACTTACACATGCAGG